TTTCATCTCGATGCTCATCTGCGGCCAGCTGATGGCCCGCTGAAGCTGTGCTGATGCTCATCTGCGGTCCTGCGGGGCTTCGGAAACTGTCCGCCCCCGCTTGATGCCCGCTTGGCTGTGTGTCTGGCGCCCGCTGATGCTCATCCTCCCGCCCGCCGATGCTCATCTGCGAGCCTGCCGATGCTCATCTGCCCGCCCACTGATGCTCATCTGCCACACCCGCTGCTCATCGATGCCCTGCAAGCCACCCGGCAAACTGCCCGCCCGCCGATGCTTATCGAGGGCCCCGATGCGGCGGCGGATAAGCATGGAAGCGCTGGTGGGCAAGCATCGGGGCTCCTGCGGGATGGCTGGTAATGAGCATCGGCGAGCAGGCAGATGAGATCAGCGGGCGCGCGCACGAGGGACGCGGATGAGCATCAGCAGGCGGGCGAGCATCGGGCTAGCGAGGGCATCGATGAGCATCGGCGGGCGGGCAGATGAGCATTAGCGGGCGGATGCGGGCGGGTGAGCAATCATCATCGGCGGGCCAATGAGCATCAGCACGTGGCTACGCCGAGTCATCAGCAGCCGCAGCTGAGACCTTGGCCAAATTGAACTTGACTGGCGTTGTTTTGAACACCTCCACACCTCTGAGTCTGCCCTGCTTCGGCCTGAGCCTCGCGTGAGCCTCGCGCAGCAGCGCTTCGCCTCCTTCAGACTGTGACTCATGTAGATTCACAAAAGGCTCATGTCGGACAGTCTGAGTGTGCGTGCAGAGGCTCTACTCGTAGCAAGCTGCTGCCATGCTGCTCCACAGCTCCAACAACAGCCGATCCAGGTCCGCCACGACTCCAGCTTCCAACAAATTGTCACTTTTGTCACCTCTGCTGCGGCGTGAGGGCTCTGGAGCCACCAGCTTCTGGAAGTGGCTCTCCTGGGAGACGGGACTGCTTTCAGAATCCTGTCACTTCTGTCACCCAGAATTTTGTCACCTTGTTATCCTTGCGGTTTGAGGCTCTCCACACACAGCAGCTAACAAAAGCCATTCGGGTTCTGGCATGCGCCGTTGTGAAAGTTCCTGTCTAAGGACATGTTAACTTTGTTGTCCTGCATGCTGTTGAGCATCAGCGGAGCCCTGTCTCGTCTCAGCGGGCTGTCTGGCCGGCAGGTGAGCAGCGAGAGAGTGCAAACATCTGGGAAAATAAAAGCTGTCTCTGAAAAGGTCACTTTTGTCACTTTTTTGTGTGCTCTGAAATCCACCTCTGAAGCCAAGCGCTGCTTCTAGAAAGCTGTCACTTTTTGTCACTTCGGTTTTCTGTCACTTTCATCTTTTTGGCGCGTTTTGGGCGCGCGGGAAAAGTGACAAAAGTGACGGGTTTTCGAGAGCAGAAGTTGCGGAATGAGCGGATCTTCCGCTGGCGGGCGCATTGCCGCTCATCTCGCAACTTCTTTTCTCGCGCGCGCTTTAGAGACCCCAAAACGCGCAAGAAATGAAAGTGACAAAATTTAGAGCAGCGCAAAAAAAGTGACAAAAGTGACAACTTCTTAGAAACAGCTTTCGTTTTCACACCCAGATTTGTTGCATCTCATCTGAGGCCCGCTGAGGCTCGCAGGCCTCCGCTGATGCTCATCAGCGCGCGCTCGCCCGGCGCAGGTCGCGATTCTGGGGGGGTCCCTTCTTTTTTTCTCCTTTTTTCATTTTTTTTTCCCTTCCGTGTTTTTTTTCTCTCCTCGGTTCCTTTTGTTTTTTTCCCTTCTGTTTCTTTACAGCTCCGTGACTGCATTCCTGAAGTCGCTGCGCACTTTCATTCAGGCTGGCTGTGCACAGCCTTGAGGAGGGTCTGGGGAGTGCTATGGAAGAGAGAGAGTGGAGCAACCTGAGGAGAATGCGAGAAATGAGTGAAAAGTGAGCTCGAGCGTGAAAAATGTGGTAGAGAATTGAATGTGATCGAAGTTCATTTCACCAACGAATTTCGATGAGGGTGTAACAGGATTTTCAATTCCCATGCAGCCCCGCTGCAAGACGAGGCGTGGGTGACATGTTGAGGCCAGCATCACCCTCAAGCAGCCCTGCGCATGTAGCTGGTCGGACTCAAGATGTGGTTGCAGTGTCCCAACCTACACCTTGTCCTGTGGACAAGACCGGCCCGGCGCCCCGTCTGGGGCCACAAGGGCACCTCATCTGCATCGAAAGACATCAGGTGCTGAGCGGGGCCAGCATTGGGATTGAAGGCCGTTGGATAGCTTTGTGTTTGGCAGCTGTTGCAAGTCCGTGCAACCTTATCGGAGACTTCTCATCCTCACCAACGTCCCCAGAGCAAGCAGCATGTCAGCTGCGCTGCAATTCCTTTCAACAGTATCCAAAGCACACGTGACTGGGCTGTAGCTCGAACTGGGGGGGGGGGAGGGGGGGGGAGGGGGCGTGTCGTGGCCAGTCACGTGCTTGTCTGCGAAGCAGCTTTTGAGCATGAGTGTCTCGGAGAAGAAGCTGCCACTTCGCATAAACTGCACAGAAAAGGATTGCAGTGATCTCTGAGTGCATCATCCCGGCTCGAAGCACAAAAACAGGCCTCAGCACACTGATACTTGCGTAGCAACCAGGCTCTGAAGTCGACCAATGTTGCGCTGCTCCAAGGATGTCTGTGTGCTGCAGAACCTTTTGTAAGTGAAAAAGTGTAGGCAGGAGAAATGTACTGAGGCGCGTTCGCTCGCCATCCGCTTGTTTTTCCCCTCCAGAAACATAGATGATGAAGTCACTAAAGAGGGTACTCCTTCACCTCGCGGAGCAGTGGAAACCCTACCGCTTACCTCTGCAAACTCGCTGTTGTCGGTGTGCGTGAGGCCCGGGAATTGGGACCCGGCGGTTCACAGCAGAGTCGACTCGTTAGCTGTCGTAGCTCCAATGGCAAAATGGCTCAGGCAAAGGCAGAATCCTTAAGCTTCTGCGAAGGCAGGGCCTGTTGCTGAGCTCTAGTGCGTTCGGCCTGGAGGTACTATTACTACTACTACTACTACTACTACTACTACTACTACTACTACTACTACTACCACTACTACTACTACTACTACTACTACTACTACTACTACTACTACTACTACTACTACTACTACTACTACTACTACTACTACTACTACTACTACGACTACTACGACTACGACTACGACTACGACTACGACTACGACTACGACTACGACTACGACTACGACTACGACTACGACTACGACTACGACTACGACTACTACTACTATTATTTCTATTGCTATTAGTACTAGTGCCAGCACTTGTACCAGTACTAGTACTAGTACTAGTGCTAGTACTAGTACTAGTACTAGTACTACTACCACACTGCCTCCTCCTTCGCACCATTCCACCAGGGCCATCACCTTCCCCGAATGTTGTAGTACGACGGGCGTCCACGCTCAACCATGGTTACAGGCCTTCAACCCACGCACTTGCCAACTTTCACTTGTTGCATATTGGGCTCTTTTCTCAACAAACGGAGCTTCCACGCTCCGCTACCACGTAAAAGACCAAAGTCACGCACAAGACAAGCAACTCACTCGTATTCCAAAGTACCAAGTGCAAGTAACCCTTCACGTCACACAGCTCACAGGCACTCCAAACACTTCTTTTAGCTTTCTCACGCTTTCACGAGACTCCGGTCTTGAGCCAAACAACATGCGTTTGCATGTGGGGCTTTCTAGGTCAAACTCTGGGCTTTAAACACTCTCCCAAAACGAAGCGACACAGTCGCAGACGACTACTACTACTACTACTACTACTACTACTACTACTACTACTACTACTACTACCACAACAAATATTACTACTACTACTACTATTACTACTACTACTACTACTACGACTACTACTACTACTACTACTACTACTACTACTACTACTACTACTACTACTACTATTAACTGTTTCTATTTTTATTTTTCTTTTGCTTCTACTTCTACTACTATTATTATTACTACTACACTACTACTACTACTACTACTACTACTACTACTACTACTACTACTACTACTACTACTACTACTACTACTACTACTACTACTACTACTACTACACTACTACTACTACTACTACTACTACTACTACTACTACTACTACTACTACTACTACTACTACTACTACTACTACTACTACTACTACTACTAGTGCTACTAGTACTACTAGTACTAGTACAACTAGTACTACTAGTACTAGTACTAGTACTTGTACTAGTGCAAGTACTACGACAGCAGCAACAAACAATAAAAATCTATGTTGCCGCAGACTGCCTTGACAATGCGTGCGTGCAAGCAGATGAGATTGCTCCACTGAAACGCCTGGGCTACGCGGGTTCTCCCATGAACCACAGGAAGGCAAGCAAAACGTGTATATTACGGCGAACGCTGTGCCGATCCAGCGTGACGATGCTGTTTGAGTGCGAAAGCCATCTTGAAAACTTTTGGGTTGAAAGAGGTGTTGGGGGGTTGCCAATGATATCGCACGCCGCTATGGATTTTGGACTTTGAATTAAACGACTTCAAGTTTGGTACGTGATTCAACCACCAAACAGCGTGCGCATGCCAGCATGCTGAGGTTTCTTGGTTTCTGGCTATTTATCTGCTGTTTTGGCTCGATGCAACGGTTTGAGACGCATACTGTTTTCATGACGGCCCAAATGATGAATGCCTCAGCATGGCCAGAACTCGAGTAACCTTTGCCGCCATTTGAAAAACACGTATTTCTACACACCCACACACATAGCCCTTGGGGTTTTGTGTTTGCATGTGGATGAGAACGACCAGCAAGTGACAAAAGACACAGCCGCAGACCGGATTTCATAGCAACCTCAACACGCAGACGCCAGGTGCATTACTAGACCCATTACTTTGCATCATAGCACTCAATTATCCGTAGGGTTGCAACCGTCCGTTGGGGCTGTCGCTCCTCTGCGCGAAGGTTCGAAGGTGAAGCTTTCGTATTTGGAGACGTGGGAAGGGCGGGAGGGAATTTTCCAGGCATGGCCAGGGAAGACTCCGGGTCCTCTGAAAGCGAGGAGGAAATTGAGGAGCAGAGCCTGTGCAGATTTTTGGGCCTGGAAACATTCCTGCGGCTCAGGACAAAGAGTCGCTGGATGACAAGCTGTGGTCCCCTAAGAGTCGCAAAACATAACTGCTATGACACGGTTGCTCTCAGTTTTGGAATTGTTTACAGTGTTTATTCAGTTCTTAATGATACAGAGGGAATGACGACATTATGCCGCGCTTCGTGCCTGGAGGAAGCGGATCACCCAGCTGGGAAAGGAGGGCAATGTCGAGGGGCTCGTGAAGGAGGCAGCGCCCGCCACAGGGATCTCGAGACCGTTGATAGGTCGAGCCCCCAAATATTTTCGAGAGGCGAAGTTGGCAGATTGCTCGCCGGAGATGGTCTCCTTCGCTTCTCGGAAAGCCAAGGACAGCAGGGCTCTTCGTTTATTTCCGCTTCGTCTCCCCTTAATGCTTATGAAAAGGACGTGGAACGAGAGGCGCGCCCTTCAAAGAGAACCTTCGAAAGTGAAAACATCATCATGAAGGAAGGGAGCAATGCTCTTGAAATATGAAGCCTTGCCCCAAAAAGTGCGGTGAGTTGAAGTTGCTGGGCAAAGGGTTTTTCGCAGCAACATATGTAGGTTGCACTTGAGGACTTCGCGCTTGGGATCGTCATCCTGCGGACCCTAGCAGAATATGCTCTTTCCATTTTGCAAGCAGGTGGTGACTTGCCCTGTCATTGCCGTTGCCTTTCCCTGGCTTTTGCTTGCCGTGTAGCTCAAGGCATAGGTTACATCCAGACCCCGGTCCACAACGAAGGGAACCTGTACAAAATACAAAGGAGGCATTAGCCTCCATGACCGTCGGATCGGATCAGGTTACGTTCAAGATTGAGCTTTGAAGGCTCAGCGGCCGGCCTGTTCAGTGACTGGTTTGTGCCCTCGCAACTGCACCAAAAGGATAGTAGTTGTCAAGGGATTTAAGCGGTGAGCTTGGTATCGTTGGGTTCCACAAAAATTCGCCGCTTTGGCATACTGAAAAAAGCCAGCACAGTGGTGATTCGTCATGTTTGTAGATCGCTTGGTAGCACAGAAGCTGCTCAGATGTGAGTCTCAAGGACCTGGGCAACTTGGCCTTCCAGAAGAAAGACTATGCCTGACTCCTTAGCTCTTGAGTCTGTGACTTGAGACGCTCGGGCCTCTGAGTGTTTGGGTGCCCCAGGAGCAAGCGCTGGAGTACTACGCGGGTGCCCTGCTCGGGGACCTTGGGCCGCAAGAATGCAGCCAGATAGGAAGATGCACGGCCATGCACCATGTGCATCTCATACTGAAACGTGAGTAACATGAGGCACAGGACCTAGGCGTGCAGAGAAGTTTGTCAGGATGTCCCGGAGAAGTACAAAATCTTCAGCAATCGTCAAGACCTCTGTGCTGATTCGGCGCAATCGAGTCCGTGTGCTCCGCTGGTTTGCAAGCAGGTTCTGCCTGCCAGTTTCAGCTGGGGAGATACACCGAGGCATGCCGCAGAAGGACCACCGCAATTTCCTCTTTCGTCAAAGATGCTTCTTGTGAGGCCCTGGTGGAAGCAACCAAGGCCATCAAGGAGAACAGATCTTGGCAACCTGGCTGAGATGCCATGAGTTGTTGCGTAAGGGTGTGTGCTTTTCCGTTTTTTTTCTTTTGTTTCTCTTTCTCTCTCTTCGAGCTTTTCAACAGGTCCAAGGGCTACTTCCGTGCCGGTCGAGCTGCTTTGGAGTCCACATCTGAGCCCCTTTTGTTCGAGACAAAGTCCTTGATCCGCTGTTCAGTGCATTCACAGCGTTCTGAGGATGGAGTACTACCAGGAAGCCTTGGAGATGTTCGAGAAAGGCTTGGAGAAGGAGTCGGCCACCAAGATTGAGCTGTCGGGCGGCTCCATGTCTCGAGTCCTTCATCCCTTTTATCCCCCTTAGTTCCCTTAGAACTGTCCAGGCCGAGCAACAAGGATCTGGTCAGCTGGGCCCAGAAAGCCAGGGACATCCGAAATCAGCACCAGCAGGAGAGGTGAACGCATGCGTTCTTGGCTGTGTAGTTCACCGTGGCACATCAAGAGGTCTTGCCACAGCAAAGGAGAAGCTGGTCAAGAAACACACCACCGACTACTCGAAGTTCGATTCCCTGATGCAGCAGCAGAAGGAGGAGGAGGATGAAGAGGAGGCTCCCGGTGACCGTAAGCCCTTCCACGAACCCTCCCGAAAGCTATGAGCTGCGAGGCCGCCAACGACCCAAATAGAATCATCCTCGGCGACAAGTGCGCGCTGATGGAGCTCTGTCTTTCCTTTGCGACGACCGGCAGCAGCTAGCGTTCAGCTATGCCAGGTACTACTCCTCTTCGAAGATGGTCCAGCTCTTTGATGGGACGAAGTGAGCCTGCCCAGACACCAAGTGTGCCTAAGGAGCAACGGCAGCTAAAGGCTATGCTGGGCTACAAGGAGCCTCCGTGCCCCGCCTTGTACGCTGGTGTCAGCAGCATCGTGCTCTTGCAGGCATTTAAATTGAGTTCTTCTGGACCAAGGCCCCCGCCCTTCGAGCCCAAGTTCGACATGGAGGTGATTTACAGGCAAGGAAGCAGCTTTGGGCTGGGCGTGGAGGAACTGGACAGCAGCAAAGCGAAAGGCACGACAACCGTGGAGCCAAGACGCAGCATCCTATCTGGGTTCGCGCCCGCGGATCTTTGCGCGTGCTTTCCGTCGCTGAAAGCCTTTTTCCATCACTGAGGACCCAACGACTCGTGAATGGCGCATAGATGCCAAGCCGGCACCTAGCCGTGTCGACTATAGTGACTCCCAGCAAGCTCAGGCTTCGGCTCGGGCTCGGGCGGTTTGAGATGCTGTGAGATGCTGTGAGATGCTGTGAGATGCTGTGAGATGCTGTGAGATGCTGTGAGAGTGCTTTGCAGCTCTGTGAGGCCATCGCCCTGTTCCTGGAGAGGCAGACCGAGGCACGGACCCCCAAAGTTCTGCAGTTTGTCAAAGCATAATATGGCAATTCTTTTTCTCCATCTTCTCCCCCCGAGGTTCAGCATGTGGACGAGATGCTGAACCTCGTGGATCAGCATGCTTCCCCTGTGAACGCCTACGTGAAGGCACCGGAAACAGCCGAAGCCGAAGCCCAACCCCCTAGAGCCCTCAAGAAGGGGCCCTCAACAGGGGCCACAGACCTCTCAGCATCTCTCAGCCCTCCACAGGGCCAATTGTGAGAAGTTGTGAGAAGTTGTGAGACGTTCGAGGCCGTGCGGGAGGTCGTGGGGCAGCTCATGGGCAGCGGCCCCGAGCTTCAGAAGGGAGCGCCACTGTTTTGCATCCCTCAGCAATCGCAGATGACGCAGGTGTAGGTGTGTGTGTGTGTGTGTGTGCACGTAGTGCTCTATTGGTCGATGACATGTCAGCTTCTCTGGTAGGTTGACCTTATTGCAAAGCTGCTCTACTTTAAGTTCAGCATTGTATCGTAGCAGTTGGTTCCACCACTGGTGTTTGGTGGCAGCGAAATCGTCATTGTCGAAACTGTTGTTCTTTTCAGTGGAAGCGTCTTCGTGATATATGCTACAAAGACGCTGCTTTGATGGGTACCATCGCTTCAGGGTGACGGGCAGTCGCAAGTATGCAGCGTTAATCATCTCATGTCAGCCGCAATAATTCGGATGGAGCATTCCAGTTTCCTTGGAGAGGCACCAATAGCAAGGGCGAACGGTTACAAAATGGCAAAGCACATTACTGGGCACGGGCATCATTCATGCTACGAGCGACCTGCTTTAAGCGTTGTTTCATCCGGTGTTTATACAAATGTATGTGGAGGCGGAAGACAGAGGCCATGGACATCGTAAACGTCAAAACTCAGAAGTCTCATGAAGTCCGAAATCTGGCTCCGAGGTCGAAGTCAACTCTAATCAAGAGAGTCGCGAAACTTGCACTGGAATCCATGCAAGCTCTCAGCAAGTCTGAATGTTTAAATTGAACTCTCTGCCTGAACACGCTGATTCGATGAGTGTTTGTTTTGGAAATCTCTATGAAGCGGCATGGATCCAGGCTTCACTCTGTTTGTTGTTGCTGGCTCTTCAGGTGCCACCAAGGATGGCGTCCGCCAGAAGCACAACATGCTGGGGAACGATGTCGGGGGCCACAGCGTTCGTTGAGAGCGATCATGAGCCACAGATACATCACAAACCTGGGCTGGATGCTCTCATATGCTGCTCGTTCCCTTTCAGGCTCGGTGGCTTTTCGTCGGCCTTGGATGCGCCCTTCCGTTGCTGACAGCGGCCCGGTCCGGAGACTCGGAGCAAGGACAGGCCTCAAGTCGGTGCAATTCAAGGAACAACGCCATATCAACTCAAGTCAAGCTTAGTGAGCGGGTTCTGAGATGGAGCGGTCCCGAGGTATCTGCCGGCATCGGAGATCGTCGCAAACACGGCGCATCGTGCCGCGTACATCGCTGACCTGTACATGACCATCGCGAGGGAGCCGAACCCTCAGAGATTGGACGGTGATTGTCGGACGAGCTCTTTGCCCTCTCCTTTCCCTCGTGGGTCCTGGGACTGGGGGTTTGTGAGTGCAGGGAGCGTCAGAAAGGGGACACTGTCCAGGCCTGCATCAGTTCCGAAGAACACGAGACAAAGATCCCTCCAACATCCGGCGGTCGGGGATGCTTGCCTGTGGGGTTTGTGCTAGCACAGTTTCGGGCGTAAGGCTCGAGGGCCTCCCTCCACGCCTCATCGGACAGAAAGACCTGTAGCGAGAGACATGTATTTCGTAAGAAAGAAGTTCATGTCATAGCCGCAGAAGCGATGACCAAAAGGGAGCGGAGTGTGAACGCATTTTCCATGTCTCCGAGGAATGGCCTGAAGTCACAGCAGGTGAAGCCCGGACGCCCTGGGGAAGATGGGATGAGAGGTGACAGGAGTGGCTGAGCGTGGAGTGGAGGTCATGTCCAGTATTGCTTTGTTATTGCAAGAAGTCCGCTAGTGAAGCATACTCGCGAGCTTGTGCAACCCGTGGGAACTTCAAAGCCTTTTTAAATTTTGTGTCTCATGTCTCCTGTTTTGTGCGACTGTCCCACTTGCGCCAAGAGTGTTTCTGTGAGAAACAACCAGTGCTGAGAGAGGTTCGTGCACCGACCATCCCACGAGCTTGCGGTCGTGGACCCTGATGGACAAGATGAGAACAACTTGACTGGCCGGGTAGATGTTGCACGGGCCTCAGATGGTACCTTGCAGCATGTCGTGCGGATAGTGTGGTTGCCTCCTTTGCTGTGTGTGTGTGCCCGAAAGGCAAAGGGATAGTGCATTACTTTGCAGTTTCTGAAACCAATCCTACCCTCAATCAGCATTCTTTTTCATCTTCGCATCGGCATCAGCATCAGCATCAGCATCAGCATCATCATCGTCATCGTCTTCGCGGTCGTCGTCAGAATCTCTCTTGAAAACATGCGAGAATTGTCGAGAGTGTCTCAAGAAGCGTGTGAGGTTTCGTGGGTGTGCAACTTGTTTGAGGCGGTGCTCGACTACGAGCTCTTCGATCCGGGTCTGATCGGGAAGGGTGTTGGTGTCTCGGTGGCTCTCTTTCCGAGGTGTCATGTCCCTCTGCGACATCCTGCAGCGTTGTCCGAGGTCTTGGCGAGGGTGAACCACATTAAGAAGAAGCTGGTGACCTCGGACCACATGATCCTTCCAATGAGTGCGGTGCTGAGAAATCCGAGAGTCATGTGGCCTGATGGTGACATGGTGCTTGACGGCAGCCCGAGGCGCGCAGATTCTTTGCGCGCCCTGCGAGATTGTGTGCCCGCGGGAGGCAGTAACCCCGGCATCAAGAACCGGCCCTGAACTTTGCTTGAAAATGTCGCATGAGGACGGCCCGGACGGTCTCAACTGGCAGGCTATAGAGCTGGCATCAGCATGCTGATGTTGCATACATGGCCTCATTAGTCTCGTGGTCTCGCGACAGGCTGGCGACGACTCACGCTGGGGAGCCTTCTACGAGGTCACGGTTCAGATCTTCGCCTTCTTGATTGCACGCAGTTGCGGTCGGCGGTCGCGATGACTATCTGGCGCCAGTCGCTTGTCAAGGCGGGCAACTTTGACGGGGGCCTCCGTGAGTTGGAAGCCCAGCTCCCTTTGCACCAGGTCCCTGAGAGGGTTCCACATTCCACGTCCACGTTCGAAAGATCCGAAAGTAGAGGGCTCGGTGCTCGGCGTGACAGCGCCTTTAAGTTTTAAGGCCGTGGCGCTGCCTGGGGCACGGGACTTGGGGCTTGGCTTCTTGCGATGTGTGACTCCTCCGAAGGTGTTGCGTGTTTGAGCTTGTTGGCGCTTCAGCAAATCGTCAGGGTGCGGATTTGAGGTTTGGTTTGCGTGCTGGGCAGAGGTGGCATTCGAAGTTGGAACTGGGGGTGAAGACATGCCTAGATACACGCTGTTTCACGAGGTCGGCGGACGATATCCGAGGATATATCCGAAAAGGGGGGTTATGTTGATGTTTGGTCAGGGTATGATGGAAGCGGTTACGAGAAAGGGCCTTTGTCGTAAACCTTGTAGAAGCTTTGCTGCCCAGGCCTGTTCATGAGGTATTTGAGTTCGACTTCACCGAGCAGGAGGTGAAGATGCCTGGGCCTTGGAGGGTTCTTCCATGTCTCGTCCTTCACCCTTACCCTGGCCCACATCGCACAGCGTCGCGTCGCAGCGTACTGGCCCATCAGATTTTGCCTCCGCACTCGGTGCCCTCAAGATTTCAATCTTGAGGAACGGTCAGGCGGACTTGAGCTTTGTTGCCAAGGAGGACGGTGCATCGACCTCGGATCTCGGAAGTGGATGCTGCGGATTACTGTGGATCTTGGAATCGGCTGAGCTTGAGGTGCTGAACTGCATTGTCTTCTGGTACAAGATGCCATGTACCCAACAAACTGCGCGAGAGCATGTGTAAGCATGTATTCCCCTCTCTTGAATCAGAAAACAGAACATCTTTTTGCAGAGGGCTTTGACCGCTGACGTCTCTCTGGACCACACTCCCGAGCAGCTCAGGCCTGGAGCGAGAGAAGAAATAACAGCAACATGCAAAAGCATGCAGGAATGATGAATCAAAACTGCCCAAAACAAGTTTCTGTGTAAAAAAGAGAGGAGGACAAAACGAATGCTGAACCGAGATGAACCGAGTGGAGAACCACCCAGGGAGAGTCCAGCTATCCATGGCGCCAGCAGCCCAGACCGCTTATCGCCTGTCCATGTCCGTGTCCGTGTCTCTGTCTGTGTCTGTGTATGTGTCTGTGTCTGTGTCTCTGTCTCTGTGTGTGTGTGTGTGTTTTTGGCATTTTTTTTTTTTTTTGTGTGTGTGTGTGTCTTGCTCTAGCTTACGGCGCCTGGCAAAAGGACTACAATCGCCACGCATACCAGTGGCTGCCTGCGCCGCTCCAGGCAAGTTGTGCTGAGGTATGCTTAGAAGCTGCAGAAGCTATATCTTACGCAGCACTTTATGGCACCCCGACAGGTGTCTAAAGGTGACGAGATTCAAATTCGTGTCCATCTCAGAGGCTCCACATGCCAGACGTTCCTGCTGAGTGAACGTTACTGCCAGGAGCCTCGTACAGCCGTTCTCGCATACGCTTCGAGATCATGAGCCCGGAGGCTGGTGAGAACTGCAAAGTCTTCCGCTACGGATCTACGGTCTATGCCAGTCTACACATCCATACCATCCCATACCATACCAAGTGCATAGGTAGTTTCATAAACGTTTGCGTGGGCGCGCCTCCCCAAGCAGCCCCGGCCACCTTTCAAGCAGTGCACTTCGGAGTCTCCAAGACGCTGGAGAGCCGCCGATCCGCGAACCCGAAACCTTTTGAACCCAGCAGCGCAAGGCGCTGCGCGGGACGCATCGACCTGAAGCCTTGTTTGCCCTGATCAGCAGTTGAGGTTGGCGGTGTCAGCAGGCTGTGCAAAACCTTGGCTGCCTTGGTTGTTTGTGTGTAGTTGCCAAAAGAAAGTGAAGCCAGGGCAGGTTGTGGGCTCGTTGCCAGGTCATGCTTGGGTAGGGTGGGAGCAGGCTTCAGGCAGTTTAGGGGTCCCACAAAGACAATTCCACCTGAGTGCGCCATCTCGGCAGCCGGCCTGGCCCAACGCGGGGTGGTGCGCATCGCAGACGAAGGATAGCCAGCCCTATGTCACATGGTGCAGCACCGGGCACGTGATGAGTTCAGGAAGTAGGGCTTGGGACTCCTTTGTCGTGCCTTCTGGCGCAGTGTCACCAGATCCTGGTTTTGCCCCAACCCCCCAGCCAAGCGAATTTGGCAGCTCTCGTATTGCTAAGTACAAGGCGCTTGGCTCCGCGGCCGGCAGCACGGATTCGAGAAAGCTAAACCCCCGACCTCGCACCCCCCCGCAAGCCCCTTCCCACGCCACCCACCCCCCACCCCCCCGCGCAAGACCGCTTGTGATTTCTTATGTTAACAGCTTTTTCTTTAGTACTACTATACTGTCAAATCCGCCATTGACTGACAGGTGGGCAAGCAAGCCCTTAAAATATAGTGAATTCACGTGGTTCCTTGAAATGCACTACATGTTTATTGGGCTTGTGGGGAGTATCAGGATGTACTTCCCCAGCCCCCCACTGACAGCGGGATGGGAGGCGGGATGGGAGGATGGGCTGACGGGGCCGGGCAGGACAAGGGGGGGCGCTGGGGCCATGGGGAGTGATACGGCGGGGTGCGAGCTTTAGTGGTGGCCACGCCAGGACGGGAGGCTTGCATGAGAGGGACAATGCGCGGGGTGGGAACCTACAGAAAGGGATGCGGCGTGCGAGGGACAGGCGCGGGACGCGCGCGGGACGGGACAATGTGGGGGTGCTTTGCGGGAAAGGACGGGAAACGGTGTACGGATGCAAAGGATGCTGCGAGGTGCGAGCTTGGTGGCGGGACGCTGTGGGATGGTATGGGCCGGGAGGACCGAGCTCTGGTGGCGACTTCATGGGACGCACGGAAGGGAAGAGAAACTGCGAGGGGCTAGTTTTCAAGGTTGCTGGCTGCGGTAGTTGAAGGAATGGTGCCGAGTGGGAAAGTACGGGACAGTTCGGGGGGGACTCTGCGCGCCGCAAAGCGAAGTCTGCACGAGACTCTGTGACTCTGTGTATCTATGTGTTGTCAACTCTCGGATGCCAGGTGCCCAAGAAGCCCAAAGGGGTGGGTTGCACCGGCCTCGGGGTGCTCTTGTGTTGGGGCAGCATGCTGTGGCTCAGGGTTGACATGGGTTGACACAGTAGGGCACCTGCTAGGGCTCTTCATTTACGTCAATGCAGTGTCGGCCCTCTCCTTTTCCAAGGTCCGCGCTGGCTTTTCCTACGGCTTTGGGACGAACAACGCCGCTTGACGAGTAGAGAGGAGGTCAAGATGGGTGGAGAGACACTGTGCCAAGCCGTTGGCAGCGGGATGCTTGCTCAGGTCTCGAGGCGTTCAGAAAAGCTATCGAGAAGGCGCTCGAGAAAATCATGGAGGTCGAGGGCTAAGCTGGCGCAAGGCTGGCCCAAGGATTGAGGGACCGAGTAGACTGGACGGCCAAACGCAAGGCTCGGGATGCGGTGCCCAAGCTAGACCGGCCGCCGTTGCGCATTGTGCACATGGGGGCAGGTGTGCAGCCTTGACTCAGTGGCGTGTGATTGCGTAGAAGCGCGTGGTTGCGGGAGAAGCGCCTCTCGGTCAGGGCTCGGGCAAATCTCTATGCTGACGGCGAGATGCGCCTTGACTGACATCTGCAGCCGGGAAGCGGGGTGCAGATCGTGTGTCGCCATTGCAGGTGCCCGCGAGGCCGGCATCAGCGAAGAGGAGGTCGAGACCCATGGCTCCACGGTCGTCGCGCTGGAGCCCGGCAGCCAAGAGAAGTTGAGCGAGGTCCCTGGGTCCCTGTCCTTTTCCTTCTTTTCTTTTTCCTTTCCTTTCCCTTCTCCTTCATTCTTCCTTTCCTGCCTCTGAGGCAGATGCCCAAAGTGGTGAGGCTCGCACGCCGCGTCTTCCGCGATAACGGCCTCGACCGAGACATCTTTCTCTGTTCGGAGGTTCCGGTGACAAGTCCAAATGATCAAAGCACGGCACGAAGCCACACAGAATGCAACCGCCTGGACAGTGCTGGCCAGGATGTCCGAAAGCTGCCCAGCGCAGATCTCAGCCACGTCTTGCGAGATCTTGTCTTGCGATGTGACCAAGCTGCCCTTGCAACACAGCGAATCCAAGAGTCCAACGCCTCTTGGACAGAACGGAATGGAAGAAGAGAGAGAGAGAGAGGGAGAGAGAGCCAAGCAGACTAACAAAGCGACGATAAGCAACACAAGAAACAACGAGTCATGTTCAAGCTTGCCACGTTTCCCTGCAGCTCGAAGCCAAGTGGGCTTCTGACAAGCTGAAAGGCCGCTTCATTTATCCAAGTTTATCCAAGTGGGCCTCAGGTCAGCCACAGCGCGCGCAGCTGGTGGTGTGCGAGCACTTCGATCCGGGTCTGTTGGGCCGCTTGGGTTCAAAGTCGACCCCAAGATACCCCAAGTCTCAGAGCTGTTGGCTGCTTCTTCTTCTTCTTCTTCTCACATGCGCATGTGCTTCTGTGCAGGTGAGGGGATTCTGGTCCTCCTGAATGCTGCCCGCATCAAGATGTGCAATGCGTTTGAGCACCAGGCCTTTCATCATTCTTCAGTTTCCCTGAGAGATGCAGGGCAGCTGCGGAAGTTCGAGCCAGAGGCAACGGAGCACTTTGAAGCGCAAGACTCGCTGAGAGGTCATCCCCAGCAGAGCGACCATCTGGGCTGCTGCCTTTGAGCGCGCGGCCTCGGAGTGTTTCGGAGATTTTCGGAGTGTGTTTGAACTTCGAGTGTATGCTTCGCCTTGCGTCGCCGTGTGCCTCTTTTCCTCTTTTCGTGTTTCGCTTCCTGTTTCTGCTCCCAGGTTCGGGGAGCACCTGAGAAGCTACGAGGGGTCAGCGGCCCACGTGGCTGTGTGGCCCCCCTGTTCAACAGCACAAACAGCAGGGCCATAAGTCATAAGCAGTGCAGTTCTGAGAAGCAAGTGGAAGTGATAGTCTGTACTACTGTAGGCCGCCAAAGCCGCCTAAGCCTTTTTGTCTAAGGCATGAAAGGCAGCAGGACGTCTGCATAGGGGTACCCCTAGATACCCTCAGCCTGAAGCCTTGCTAAGATGCTGCCGCTGAACGTGCCGACTCTTTCTGTACTAAGTGCAAGGCTTGGATTCCTCACCGCCTCTACGATTGCCCTAAACCACCCTAAAGCCCAAACCCCAAAAACCCTAGCCCTAGTCCCTTATGAACTCTAAAGCCCCAAAACCCTAAACCTTCGGGTGTATGGCCTAGTTTCGGGTTTAGGGCTTAGGTCCTATGCATTTTGGTGTTTAGGGTTTGGTGGGGTTTGGGGTCTAGGGACGAGCGTCCAGGTTCGACCTCAGCGCCCTGAACCACTACCGAACAGGGTTGATGACCGGAGCTCGGCTTGCGTAACAGCAAAGAGGGGTGCAGAAAGAGTCCTGCATCCAACACTGGGAAGTCGCACCCAGTATCTGCGAAAACAGGTCCTTTCTCCCCTCCTCTCCCCTCCTCTCCCCTCCCCTCCCCTCCTCTCCCCTCCTCTCCCCGCCTCTCCCCCATCTCCTCTCTCCCTTCGCCCCTCTCCTCTTCCGCTCACACTCTCGCTCCCTCTCTCTCTCTCTCCCTCTCTCTCTCTCTCTCCCTCTCCCTCTCCCTCTCCCTCTCCCTCTCCCTCTCCCTCTCCCTCTCTCTCTCTCTCTTTCTTTCTCTCCCCCGCTATCTCTCTCTCCCTCCCTCCCACCCTCTCTCTCTCTCTCTGTCTCTCTGTCTGTCTGTCTGCCTGTCGAGGACCGACGTGGACACGGCACTGGCCGAGGGCAGTTGCCGGCAGCTCTCCAACGTTTTCGAGGCTTCAAACCGAATAGCAGTGAGCAATGCTGAATGTAGTACTGGAGAAATGAAGTAGTTAAGACATGAGCAGTGAGTAAGAAAAGGAGCATGACATGATCAGTTTGTGAGAGTCATTATGAGAGGGGGCCACGCGGCCAAACTGTTCCTGCTTTCGTAGGTTTTCAAGTTTGACTTCGAGAAGAACCTCATGCCAGATGCCCTGCCCTCATATGGCCCTCATATTATCCTCATGCCATTGTTCCCCATGTTGCTGTTTGGAGATGAGATAAGACAGGAAGATCAAGTGCGCAGGAGGAGTTTCGATCGTTACCAAGGCCCACTCCATCACTTTCACTCCCACAGCAACAGGCCTGAGAGCGCACTTGTCCAGATTGCGTTGGATGCAGCTTGCAGAAAATGTCCCCAAACACAGGAAAGATCACGGCCATCGTGTTCTGGTACGAGATGCACATGGACATGGAAGGTGCAGGGGACAAGGTCAGTCCGAGCGTGGATCTTGGTGTCAATGCAGGAGATGTCATCCTCACCAACTGGCCAGAGTCAATCCCGCCTCTCGGCTGCATAATTGCTTGAGGATTCTTCTGGCAGGTGGCCCTACAAGGGGGGGGGGAAGCAACGTCAAGTCTGAAAGCCCATTAGCAACGGTTGCCTGGGAAGAGTGGGACAGGCCTGCCGACTTCTCCATGCTGGAGAAAGACCTGTGCAGCCCTCGAATGCCTGCGAAACTTTGCAATGCCTTGAAGATCCCTGAAGTGAGTTTCTGAGAATGCCCCCGTCAGCTCCTCGACCTGAGAGCAATCACTAGGGCCAGTAGGAGCAGGGGGGGGGGCCTCTCGCCCTCTCGTTCCACTGTTGGCCCGCTCTTCTTATGAAGCTCAGCCGCGGAGGCATCGTGTGGCGCCGCTGCGGCAGGCGGTCTGCAACTTCCAAGGCTTGGCGGGCTGAAGAGATGCCTCTCTCCGTCTCTCCGTCTCTCCATCTCTCCGTCTCTCTCTCTCTTTCTCTTTTTCTCTGTGTCCCCTCTTAGCGCCCATTGACTGGGAAGGCAGCTACATTCAGGAGGTGGTCAAGGACGCTTTTGAGCACCTCAGGGATGTCATGCGGGATGCGATATGTTGAGGGAGCCTTGTGTCTTCGATGTCCTCAGAAGGATGAGCCAATCGAGATCGATGTGGGCTACCAGCAGGCCGTGGAGTGCCGCGTCTCCGGGTAACCGGAGCAACACTTTGCAACTTTGTCGGAGCTGCAGGCCTGGCCGCAGTTTGTCTGGCCGGGCACCGAGATGGCGCGGGCACCCAGGATCCAACCATGGCATCCTGAATCTTCTTGACATGCTGAAGCTGCGAGTTCTTGGCAAGTTAGATCACCAATACCTAGAAGAAGCAAAAAGGTTCTTATGTGAAATGATTGTTCAGACTTCTTTGTAGAACAGCACACCTATCTTTGTTGTACTTGAGGACAAGCTTCTGTTGGTTGTCCGCTTAGCTTGCTGATCCGCTCGATCGCCTGTATTCACGCGGCGCGGGCGTTTGCATCTCGGGTTGCGGTGTGCCCAGCCGCCCTGTTGCGGGTGCGTGCTAGATTGTGCTGCCAAACTTTCACTCTGCTGCCAGCAGGCAAGTTTATACCCAGAAGGCTTCTGACGATTAGCATCCGCAGGATGTTCACTGCTTTAATTACTGCTCCAGATCCGCCGGATCTCTTTCGTTCGCGTGCGGCGAGCATGTGTTGCGTTGCTTCTAACCCCCGCTTCGCTTCTGCGACTTCCTTTATTTTGAATTGAGCTCGGTGTGTAACAGTGGGAACCTTCTGCTCTCGATGTTGGAAGCCCTGGATGCGACTTAGGTTTCTATTTTTTTTGGTATGGGCTGCCCGAAAGAGGTCCGAGGGCGCTAGTGGTTGCAGGGCTGTTGGGATTCGCAGTCTGACTTTGAACAAAAAAGCAAGGACCTTCTTTCGGATTGGTTTCTAAAGTTGCATCCCAAGACAAAGAAGCATTCTGGCCAGAAAATCCCAGATTTTGCTGTGCCTTGCTTTTGCTCATGCCGTGAGAGTCTGCATGTCCCCCCCTACGGCAACGATGTTGCTGTGGTCCTTGTGCCCATCCCATCTGCTTGGCTCTGAGGTGCAGAGGGACAGCGGCGAGCGGATCCCCAAGCCACCTCCCATGCCCAGGTGCCCCGGCATGCACCGCAGCATGTCCTGCGGCATGTCCCGCGCCATGTCCCGGCATGCACCTCCTTGGGCGGGGACTGGGCATAAGCTGTCGAAGAGTCGAAGAGCGCAGGCATCGGTTGTACTTCGAGAAGATGAAGACCGAGACAGAGAAGTTGGAGCATGCGTCTCAGCCTCCGAGGTGCTTCGCTTCCATGGGGCGCTACCCGCTTCCAGCTTGCTGAGTCGAGCTAGGGCATATTCTTCCTGTCTTGTGTTGCTCTGTTTGGGAAAGAGACGCTCAGGCAGCAACTGCAGAGTGGGTTGATGTACGATGCAGAGCAGCTCAGTCGGAGGGGACTTGTGACGTGATGTGCATCGGGGCGTAGGGTTTGCATTTGCGGGGAAGTCTCTACAGTCTTCGTCAGCCTTGGCAGTCTTGACAGTCTTGAGACAAGATCTCTCTTGAAGATGGCGGATCTCCGTTTCGGCCCAAAGTCGCCTCACTGAAAGTGTGAGGGACTCCGAACTGCCTCTCTTCTTGCATCCTGGCTGCAAGAGGGCACCCGCTTTGAAGTGCTTTGTTGCTGTTCTTTCGCCGCGAAGCTTCCTTGAGTAGCCGCTCTCAAAGGTGGGGAGGCCCCGCATGGCGCGGCTCCTGGCGGGGCTTTTTTCAGTGCTGGCACTGGGACTTGCTGCCGAGGCAAAATCTAAGTGAACGGCAACGAACCGTGAAGGGAAATGTCAGTTTTCTGAGTTTCGGCTTTGTTCTGGGATTCTGGAACCTGCCATGTCGGCATTGGAGGACTCCGAGTGGTCAACTGTCCGAGTGGATGGTGACGACCTGCACGATGTGCCTGGTCATATAGACGACCTGAGTGCCGCGTCGCAGGTGCGGAGTTGTGCCAGCTCTCTTGCATGGAAGAGACGATGCGAAGCTGAAGCTTGCAGGTCGGCCTGAGCCATGTGGTCTCATCTCAGGACCGCCGTTTAATCACAGGCAAAGTGTGCTAGTCAAAGCGCTGCCTCAAGTCTCCGTTTCAGGACGTCGCCCTCGATGCCGGCCATGTCCATCATATCCATCACATCGATCATATCGATCATATCGATCATGTCGATCATGTCGATCATATCGTATACAGTGACGATGCCGACCTTGGCCCGGCCTATGTGCACAACGACGTGCATGAATACGTGTGCTCCTAAGCATTCCTTAGCCCCGCGGCGACTTGTTCAAGTGTCCCGAAAGTTAGCGCCAAGCGGGCTTTCAGGCGACATATGGAGGTGACCACGTGACTTCGGGTGAAGCCAAGCCAGACTGGGCACATGTACACCTTTCACAAGAACCTCTTGATGCATCGGAGGCCGCACCGGGGCTGCTTCTTTGTCCCTTTGTCCCGAGAGAGTAGCTTCCTCAAGAGTCTTGGTAGGTTCCTGCCGAATGGATGGACAATCTTGGTCAGGTGGGGTGTGCTAGTTGCCGTGCGAATGCCTTGTGCCTTGGCCTTGTTCTTCTCCTGCACGAAGAGGATGTACAAGTTGTCCATGACCACCACATCATTTTCGACGACGCCCAGCTCCCGCCGACGAAGGTGGGCATTGGCACAATCGGCTGGGGGGACGTGTCATATCTCATGAGTATCATGAGTCGACCGCCATGTCCACGCCACGTCCCAACCCAGGTCCCTCATGTGGAGCACCTCCATTATCACCATCACCATCAAGAGGCGCTGCGCTCCAGTTCTTCATTTCGTTGTTGCTTTTTCACGTCGTGATGCCGCGAGTCTATGTGAGTGTCCAAAGGCTCCACCACAGCACGTGTGTGATGGCCGCGAAGAGCAGTGGGATGACTGCCCAGAGCAAAGAAGGCACGGCCATCCTGCTTCCTTTTGTTCGTAGAGTGTGATGTGGCTGTGATGCGATGCCACGCGCTGTCTGTGAGGTGTGTTGCTTGCACGCCAGTTGACTGCCTTTTCACTGAGTGGAGCAGGTGGGTGTTTGCGGGAGTGTGACTGGGTCCCCTCTCCGAGTCCTGGTCTGCCAGATCTCAGGTGGTATGATGGCGCCGACTGTATCGGCCTCCGATTTCGACACAGAAGTATCCAGGCGGGAAGCACAAGCTGTGCACTTTGTAGCAGCATATTTGTGAGCTTTGATGTGAAGCGATGTGAAGCGGAGGTGCGGAACAATGAGTGCGGCCTGCCATGCTATGGATCCAAGATGGAGTCCGAGCTTTTGCCAGAGCCGAAGCCAGAATGCCTGAAGAAACAGCAGGAGAGGGCACGCAGGGCACATGCTAGCGTCCTTGACGCAACCCCCGAAATTCATCCAAAGACCCGAAGCAGAGCTAACTTCGAATGGACGTCTCCCCACACAAGCGCTCCCCTATCCAAAAGCACACGCGCGCGCGCACATTTTCTGCGGTTTTGCTTCTCAGCTTTCTCTCCTCTTGGTCCTCTTGGTACCTGGGAGGACTGTGTCTTCTCCGCGTGGACTCAGTGGAGCGTTTGCCAGAGCCAGGTGGATCAGGCATCCGTGCTGTGCAGGACACCAGAGAACGCTTCCACGGTTCATCTGCCGTTCAGGCGATACGAGAACGGCACATCGACCGAGCACCGTTGCACAGCGGCGAGCCCTGAAACCTTGCAGCACCTCAGAGATCCTCTCAAAGGGCTCCTTTCAAAGGGCTCTCCTTTCTGAGAGGGATCCCCCTCTGAGACAAGAATGAGTTCAGAGACAGTTCGAGACCGAACGCCTGCAGACTGTACAAACACGCTTTCTCTCTTGTTCTCCCTGAGGTAAGGGTAGCAGCAAGGAGACGCGTCCCTGCGGTGGCCCAGAGCCGATGCCTTGCCTGTTCTCGCTGCTTGGATGCAGAAGGCATCGCAAGGCATCGCTCAAGGCTAATATTGGCCTTTTACCACACGAAGCTCTTGATCGCCCTTGCATCAAAACTCACCAAGGGAGTGGCACGAGTGGACCAAGTGCAGCGCAACCTGCGGCACCTCGGAAAGAGCGGCAGCTGGAAGGTTTCCCAGTGTTGCATACGTGCGTCTTTGTGCCTATATGTGCCTGCAAGTTGCTAAAGACGAAACCCAAATAAGGTGAGGGGCGTCATACCCGCATGCGCCGGGTGAAGTCCGAGGAGAGCAGAGTCTCCACATTCTCTCACCTGCTCTCGCCATGGAAGGGCTCTCACATTCTCCCTGCTCTCTCACATGCTCTCTCACATTGCTCTCTCTCTCTCTCTCTCGCACGCTCCCTCTCACTCTCTCTCTCCCTCTCTCCCCCTCTCTCTTTCTCTCTCTCTCTCTCTCTCTCTCTCTCTCTCTCTTTCTCTCTTCTCTCTCGCTTGGTTAGCGCGTGAGATGCGAGGACTACCTCAGTGGCCAAACCTGCGACGATGCCCTGATGGAGACCAAGGCCTGCTCCGTGGAGTCCTGCCCCTCGCAGGACTGCCAAATCAGCAACTGGGCCAAACTCTGCCACACGCTCTCACTCTTCTCGCACCCTTCTTGCACTCTTCTCGCACTCTTCTCACACTCCGCGGCCTGGGCATGATGCTGGATGCTGCTATATGCTGCTGTGCTCTGAGGCACCTGGTCGGAGTGGTCACCTTGTGGCCGCCTGTCCCTCCAGAAGACGAGGCAACGAGAGTCCCCGTTTCATTTGACAGCGATGCCCTGCCCCCGCAGAGATGAACTGCACTCTCCTTGAAAGCAGGTAGGTTGCAGTGCAGTGCGGGCTCCGGGGCAGCTAAATCTTTCACTCGCAGGGGCACGAAAAGGCTTGCGCGCCCCGCGCAATTACCGCAGAGACTGACAGTAGCAGCTCTTAGACTCTACGTAAGTAAACTTCGGGAGGTCGGGGAGCCTTGGCAACCTCGCAAATTCCTCCAGGGTGGATCCCTGACCAGGAGCCGCATGGTGTTGGTCAGCCCCGAGGGTGAAGGCATGGGCTGCAACGTTTCGCATTTTGGTGGCACATGAGAGTAATCACTAGTAGGGGCTCAAGAATCCTCTGACACAGAACGCAGAGGGGTGGTTGTTGCCATGTTACGTGGTCCGGACACCAAGCCACCAAGGCTCATGGAGGCCGACGCCTGTGCTCCGCAGGCCACGCTGCAGTGCAGTCGGTCCTGACACTGGGGGTGCCTTAGAGGCACTTTTGGGTACTTCTAGCTACGTTAACGAGTGACGCCAGGCGGGTGAAGACTGCATCGTGTCTGAGACGCTTGGCCTGCACTCGGATGAGAGCGCCTTGGGGTTGGGTCGTCCGGTGCTCTGCGTTTGTCGTGTCTATCCGAACGAAGGTGGTCAGCGTGGACTGCGTGTGACAAGTCCTGCCATGGTGGGCAAACCTACCGTCACCGACGGCTCATGCGCTACAACAGCTACGGCGGCGCTTGCCCAACGAGCTCCTTGAAGGAGTGACACGCTGCTGTGAGAGCTGCCGTGTGAGAGCAGAGTCAATGTTTTTTGTCGTGCATCTTTTGTGATTGTTGGATGCTGTTTGATGTTGGCCTTGGGCTCCTTGAGACCCCCACGCCCTTTAAGCCTTTCCCTTTTGCATCCCTGTTGCCCTGCACAGGAGGTGTCACCTTGCAATACACAAGCCTGTGTTCCCATCAGCAGGCGCGTGAGAAGAAGTGTCTTGCAGAGCCCGGAATCCGAAGAAGCAAGTGCGGGACTGATCAGAGTTGCCGCAACATGTTTACATTTCGTTAATTTCCATCTTGGGGGGAGATGCAAGAACAACGTGGCAACGCACGATCCCAAGACCAAGGACAACCATGCCATGTGAAAACACGATCTCAAACCCTGCTTCATCCACCAACAGAATCCTCGAAGGATGTGTAAGTCCAAGCCACAACGCTGCTTCAGTGCATCGTCTCCGAGCAAGCGTCTTGAAAGAACAACAAGGAGACGGAGCAGGAGCAGGAGAATACCCACGAGCAGAGCACTGCGAATACGAAGTTAGCAATCGACATTGTATTTGCTTGCTCGCGCCTCCTCGGCAGCCGGGCCGGCCCACCTCGGCGGTTTCCAGTCCGCACGGTCGGGCTGCAGATGCGGAAAGCGACCGTGGGCCGAGGACAAAACCACCGCAGCAGGAGGAGGAGGATGAGGAGGAAGAGGGCCCACCCGTGAAGGCGAAAACCAGCCCGGAGCGAAGGTGAGCTTGGGGGAAGCATAGGAAGTATGGGAAAGGAGGCCGGATCCTGGTCGGTTCCAGATGCCGAAGATTTGGGAATTGGGAATGGGGCACGATGGGGCACGATGGGGCACGACGGGGCACCATTCCTGTGCTTTGCTGCTGTTGTTGCTTTTGGGTTGCGTTTGCTCATGCCTGCCAGGGATTGTGCACTCGGCGACTGGGACGACTGGAGCGTGTGCTCCCAGGAGACGGGCGAAGGCTTCGCCAAGAGGACACGGGAGCTGACGCCAGCGACGGGGGATGGCAAGGCAGGGCTCAAAGGGGAAACGTTTTGAGGAGTCACCGTGCTTTCTGTGCTTTCTCCCAAGGCTTGCGATGGAACCACCGTCGAGCTGAAGGCGTGCGAGATCAAGCCACAGGAGGCGGTCCCAAGCTGACTGGCTGTCCTAAGCTGTCCTAAGCTGTCCTGATGCCCCTGTGACCTTGCGTCCTGTTGCGGAGGTAGTGGACTGCCAGTGGGGAGGCTGGCTGGATTGGAGCGACTGCACCAAGACCTGTGGAGGAGGCTCGGTGCTTTTGCCGAAGCCGACTGTAGCGAAGACAACTCAGCCACTTGTAGGAAGACGTGGTTTACTGCCATTAGGCGGCGATTCACAATCCCTGTTGCCGTTCAAAAAGCTCCGAATGAGAGTTCAAAAAGTGGTGGCCCTTGTCTCCTTGTCTCGTCCTTGTGAGGCTCCATGCGCCGGAACCGTGCCATCGAAGCAGCACCGCGGAATGGTGGTGTGGCCTGCCAGGCCGAAGACAAGGAGGCGCGAAGCTAGAAGCCAAGTCACGCCTGAGACAAGTTGAAGGGAGCACGTTCACAAAAAGTACCGCAACTGTCACTCAGTCACTCCATGTCACGCCGACCAAGGAGGTCACCTTCTGCAACATCATGCCGTGCAGTGGCGAGTGTATCGATGGCAACTGGAGCTCGTGGAGTGCGACTCGCCTCAGCAAAAACAAGCAGCAAAAGGGTTGTGCAGACAGCAGCATGACAGGAGCAGCAAGCAGCAATCGATAGTAACTCGATAGTGCAATGCTCCCCAGAGGTAGCCGATAACGTAGCGTTGTTGCTATCATTGAACCTCTTTGCTAAGGCCTGGAGCGAGTGCAGCGCCTATTGCGGTAATGGCTTCCAGAAGCGACGCCGCTCCCTGGCCACGCTGCCCACGGCTTGCGGGGCCATGCCGGTACGGCCCCCATCTCTCCTCACATGTCTCCCAATGATTCTCGATGTCTCTCACATCTTTGCACCTCTTCCGCTCAGGAGGGGCCGCGCGAGGACTTCCGGCTCTGTGACCCGGCCCCGCCCGCCTGCGAGCAGGAGCTTTAGTTGAAATTCATGTCTTCTTGGCATCTTTTGATATGTTCTCGTGCATGTTTGTGTTGCATGTTCTCCGCAGCAGGACCGGGACTGCCGCCTCTCATTGTGGAGCAGCTGGTCGGAGTGCGCCTGGGGTCTGCAATGCTCAGCGCTAGTTCTGGCCGTCACGTGGCCGTCACGTGGCCGTCACGTGAGTGATCCAAATTATTTCAGTTTTGCTGTGCCTAGGCTCCAAAGACTGTCACGGCGTTCGTGAACGAGTTCGCCACATCGTCATGTATGCTCGTGGCAATGGAATTTCTTGCCACTCGGATGTTGCAAGAGATGCAGAACATGCAGAACTCTGACATGTGTCCCAGCCGTGTCGCTGCCATGCTGGAGAGGCGATGGCGAGAGCCTCAAGGACATCGAGGACGCAGCCAATGCCCGGTGTGGGCGTGTGTGTGTGTGAGAGAGAGAGAGAGAGAGTGCGTGTGTGTGATGAGTGCGTGATGCGATCACCGTGATCGATTTGGTGCCATCGACTCGAAGAGGACTGCAACCCTCTGCTCGGCAGTGAGCCGCCTGCCGCCTGCGGGACAGCGCCGGCCCAGGCATGGCCGAAGTCCAGAGACCTCACCTCCTCGCTTTCATGCCCCGTTTCATGCCCTTCTCATGCCCCGTTGAACAAGCCTGTGCCTGCTGTGCCTTTGCAGGACTGCATCTTGCAGGACTGGTCCGAATGGTCCGAGTGCTCGGTCACGTGTGGCGGGGGTGAGCAGCTCCGGAAGCGCACAGCCTGGGTCCCTGGTGTTACTGTGGCCTCAGAGTTACCTGTGACCTCACGGTGACCTCTGTGTGACCTCGTCTCTTCAGGTCTTGCAGCCTTCCTCCAGTGGCGGGAGGCCTTGCAACGGCACCCTCACGACCGTGCGAGGCTGTAGCCCAATCCCTTGCCACGTGGATGCCTCCCGGGCCAAAGAGCAGAAGAGCATTTTCGGATGCGGTGTAGACCCTTCTTGTGGGCCCATTGTTAGATGGTGGAGATGGTGTGTAGAGAGTCGCGAGAGTCGCCGCGCAGAAGAGCCCCCCCTCTAAGGTTGTCAAGGATTGCAGGTGGGGAGACTGGTCTGACTGGGGAGATTGCACCCATTGCGGCGGCCAGCGCACCCGGCACCGAATCATTGAGCAGCTCCCGACGCTGCATGGCAAGTTGTGCGACGAGGAAGATGCCAAGGAGGTCTCCAACTGCACAAGCTACTGCCACGATCGGAAGTACTGCGTTTGGTCCGAGTGGAGTGGACGGGAATGCGCTGAGACATGTGGAGCCACCACCACTATGCGGAACCGCATTCTGAAGTTGGTCGACCTGGCAGACGACTTTCTCTTCGTGGGTGACAAGCATTCAGGCTGCCTTGGCTCCCAACTTGACGTGGCGACCTGCCCCAGCAAGCAGGACTGTAACAGCGAGTGCGTGCCGGTGGACTGCACCTTTGGGGCGTGGAGCGAGTGGAATGAGCCAACGTGTGTTGGGCTCTGCGAGCGGCAGCGGGTGGTGAGCCAGATGAGCAACGAGTGCGGCTCTCCTTGCAGCGGAGCACTACAGGAGACGAAGAAGTGCCAATCCACCTGCGAGGCTCCAGAGGACTGCCAGGTCTCAGAGTGGACCCAGTGGAGTCACTGTAGCAATGCAACTGGCCATATGGGCGGACAGAGGTACCGCCGCCGGGATGTTCGCCAGCCTCCCAAGCGCGGTGGCCTCGCTTGCTACGGGGACCTTGAGCAGACCAAGGCCTGCAAGGGAGAGCTCCCGGAGCCTTGCGTGATGGGCCAATGGCAGGAATGGGGCGACTGCAGTACTACCTGTGGTGAGGGCTTCCAGTCACGGGAGCGAAGCATCAAGCAGCTGGCCGATGATGGAGGCACGCAGTGCAACGGGCGCCTGGCCGAGGTCAAGGAGTGCCATGCAGGCTTTTGGGAAGACTGTGGCCTTGGTAGTGAGCAGGACTGCGAGTTCGATGCTTGGAGCGACTGGAGTGACTGCAGCTTCGTCATGCAGCGTGAGCGATCCCGAGACTTCAAGAAGAGGGCACTGCTTGGTGGGCTGCCTTGCATGGGCCCCATGCACGAGCTCGAGACCTGCCACCACGCTCCAGTGGATTGCGCGGTCTCGGAGTGGACCGAGTGGGACAACTGCGACCGGAGCTGTGGCTCTGCACACGCCCGTCGCCAAAGGCAGATCACACAGTTCCCGAAGCATGGCGGCAGCTTGTGCCCGAGTGACCTTGTGCAGATGAAGGCCTGCCACCTACCAAGCTGTGACCTGAAGGATTGCCAGGTTTCAGGCTGGTTGGAGTGGGGCCGATGCTCCGCATCCTGTGGCCCGGGACAGCAGAGCCGCGTCCGCGCCGTGATCAACCTCCGCGAGCCCGGCGGCTTCGGCTGCTTCTTCTCTGTCGCCGAGAGCCAGGCCTGCCAAGGCGGAGATGGCGAAGGCGGAGCCGTCGCCTGTGCTGCGGACTGCGTCTGGGACGAGTGGGAAGACTGGTCCCAGTGCAGCCGTTCCTGCGGCGGCGGGCTCATGAAACGCAGCCGCCAAGTCAAGACGCTACCAAGCGAAGGGGGCAAGCCTTGTGACGACAAGGAGACGCGCTGAGTGTCACTTTTGCAGGAGTTGCTGCTGCTGGTTCGCTGCTTGTCCAAAGTTGTCCACCGCTCAGGACATGCAGGAAGTGCTGCCCTGCAATGTTGGCGTGTGCCACGAGAACTGTGCCTTGGCATAATGCCACATGCCACGACTAGATGGGTACACGGCATGTGGCATTGTGACAGCGTAAGAGTCTTCACATGTCTCAAGTCTCAGGCATCAACGGCCTCTGGGCTGACTGGGAGCAGTGGTCTCCCTGCAGCCGCACTTGTGGAGGAGGCGTCACCTTCCGACACAGGGAGGTGGGCCAATCAGCCCCAACCTGTGAGCGCTTCCGGTCATTCCATCACCTTCCCTCGCGAGGTGAAGCGCATGGCGAATAGCTGTGGACATCCGGCCATCGGGAATGACAAGGACAGCGGGTGTGAATGAGTTATGCATGTTGTCGCACCATGCTGCACCACGCTGCATCGTGCTGCCTCGTGTTGCATCATGACGACCATCTGGAAAAACCTGCAGTGAGAGCACTTGTGTACCAGATAGTGGGTAAAAGGCAGGGGCAACAGGTGGAACAGGCGCAAAAGGCCCATCGAACAGCCCAAGAAAGTCTTCCCAAGAAAGAAGGAGTCTTCCCAATTCAAAGCCAGGTGGGATCATGCTTATCTCAGCCAACGTAAACGTGGAGCTAGTATCGCACCGACTGGAGCGCACTTTAATGGTTAAGGTTCCAGCCAGTCTGGGGAAAAAGTTTCGCAGATCATGACTCGACGGAACAGCCCAGACTGGGCAAGTCCCGACCGAGCAGGCGCCATCCGGGCCTCACGCACTCCGCCAGTTCTGTAAGGGGGTTCGGCCCATGAAGGAAGAGTCGCGAAAGAAGGAAGCAAGACAGAATTCAGGGAGAGCAAAGAGGGACAGAGAAAGGGTAGAGGGAGCAAAGCGGACCCATGCAGACTCGTACCAAAAAAGGCCTTGAAGCCCGGGGTCCGGGGGAAGCCCCTTTCGTTATATCCCGTAGAAGCAGCAGGAGATAAGAGGCAATGTGTATATGTCTTGGGACACGGCCACGAAAACAAGTCATGAGGGCGAGCTCTCCTATCTGTTACGTACACGCACACACACACACACATGCGCACACCCATGACTCATGCTACCGCTCCTTTGCAGCTCTTGCCCAACGCACACATCCCGAGCCCGAAAGAATACACGCATATGCACAAGTGGGATATTGCGACAAAGGCGCACGCTCCTCTTGTTCATTGCAGGAGACGAAGTTTTGCAACGTCGATGTGCATTGCCAGCCTGACAAGGACAGTATGGCAGGGCTGCCTTCTTCTGGGCATGTCGAGTCGCACAGTTCAAGTGTCAGGGTAAATCTGACAGGACTGCCTGTACACAGGCTGGAGCAGCTGGAACGAATGTTCCAGCAGTTGCGGCTCGATCTAATTTGTGGCCTTTGCGTGTGTAAGGCGTCTCTTTGCTTGATGGAGTGCTGGGGAATGTCGGGGCATAGTTTGTGGTGTTAACAGGACGCAGTTGTGCAACTTCATACCACTCACAGATGACGGATGCTGCAGCCTGCACGGAAGTGGGCTCGGTACCATTCGGTATCTCGGTACGTGTTTTGCTGGGAGACTGAAACACGGCTGCCCAGAAAGGGCTGCACAAGTACCTCAGACGACAGAGGGGGAATTGCAAGATAAAGTGAGGAAAGCAAGCGACACGATCGTGCACAGACCGCTCAGATCGAGGTCTGCTGCCTTGTTCGCATCTCCTCAACACTGGCAACAGGGATCTTCCCCAGCTCCGCTTGAGTGGGGACTAGGGCAGGTTTGACTTGGGCTCTCTCTGGGCTCTCTGCGGGGCTCTCTCCGGGCTCTCCGAGGCACGGGCATCATGTTCCGGCGGCGGAGCATCGCTGCCTACGGGCACGGTGACGGCCTCTACTGTGTCCCGGCTTCAAGCAAAGAGCAGTGGGAAGGGGTTACCTCAAGGCCTGAAGCTTGCGTAATCTTACACAATCGCTCGCTCTCTTTCTCTCTCTCACACACGCACGTTACCTTTCTCATTGTCCTTAAATCGCCTTCCCTGGCAGGCCAGGGTGCCTTGCAGGAGGTCTCCCCCTGTAACCCAGCGGAGGGTGAACAAGCGCCCTCTGGCTGTGCCTCGGCTTACTTTGATGTCTCTGTGCGTCTCTGTATATGTCTGTGCGTCTCGCTGCGTCTCTCCGTCTCTGTGTCCCTGAGTGTCTCGCGCGGCCATGCAGTCGTGGTTGCAGCTTTTGCATTCTTGTGGCAGGTGGGGCTGGGACGGCAGTGGATTGCGTCCTCAGCGCCTGGAGTAGCTGGGAGGACTGCAGCGCCACCTGTGACGGTGGCGAGCAGAGGCCGATGCCGCGCTGCCTCCAAATTCTAAGCAATTCTACGCACTCTCCACCACTCGGATCACAGCTCTGCACGGCTGCACGCTTTGCACCCCCACAGGCGCCACAGGCATGTTGTCCAGCATCCCCACCACGGTGGCCTTGCGTGCAAAGGCACCGAGAGAACACATGACAGAACATCGGAGAGGACATTAAGAGGGGAGAAAAAAAGGAGGGGAAGAAGAGGGCGAGCGGAGCGAGCTTCGGGACTTTAGGGACTTGGGGGGCGCTGTGGTAGGCACTCTCTTGGACGTCCGGGAATGTGGCCGTGACCACTGCCACAATGGTGCTCATCCCCTGGATTGTGTCTATGGCCAGTGGAAGGAGTGCCTTGGCAGCGCAGCTTACAAGCAGATGACAAGCAGATTACGGCTTTTGAAGCGTGTGCAGGAAGCTCCGGGACGCTTAGAGACGGTTTCTGCAGATGTCTCCAGTCAGAGCAACCTTTTCTAGAGCTGAAAGTGCTGGGAGGTGGGCGGCCTGCGGACAATGCGACGGAGAAAGGAAGCGGGTGAGGAAGATCCTGGTCTACCCCGCCGAGGCCTCGCACATTCTCACTGATCTCCGGTTGAGAGTGAGAGAGGGTGAGAGAGAGAGAGAGAGAGAGATAACGAAGTCGAGAGGTTGAAAGCTCACCTCTGCTCGTTGATCTATGCCGAAAGGGTCGCGCTCTTTCTTTCGCAGGGCGGCCGCGAATGCGTTCCAGCAGCTATGGAGGAAGTGGGCGCTTGCCCGAACCCCTGCGCCGCGGACCCTCGGCCACGATTGCCAGATGGCTGGCCATGACTTGGGATGGCTTGGTGTGAATGTCGTGAATGTAAGAAAGGCTGCAGTGCAAAATGTGACAAACCCCTTCTGGTCGAGTTGCACTTCTTTCCCCTGCCTGAGGAGCTCGCATGCTCTTGGCAAAGCTGGCGCCCGACTTAGATTTTTCACGAGAAGTGCTTTGTAGCACTATGCAGTGTGATGTTCGTGGCGTTCATGGGTGTCCCCAGTACACTTTCAAAAAGTGCGTTCAAGCCAGCAGATACTGGCAAGAGTCAGTTGGGAGCCCTATAAGTCGTTTATGGAGAGAACATGTGAATCCATTGCTCTCTTCTGCCGCCCTATTAGAGACCTTTAATTTGCTTCTTTTAAAGCTCTGGAAGTCTCTGGGATATTTGTTTTGTCCTTTAGCGAGGTCGGCCTGGAGCTCCTGCTCTGCCAGCTGTGGAAGCGGTGGCAAGCGAAAACGCTCCCGCGAGCTGATCAAGGCCTGAACCATCCATTTCTTTTCTTCTTCCTTTTCATCTTCCTCTTCTTCATCAACCTTCTCTCCTCTTCCTCTTCTACTTGCTGTATGCGAGCATGCGCAAGAAGGGTGAAAGACACCAAGCCAACGTGTTGTCCTTCCGCATCTCTTTGCAGGTGACTCGGCCCGTAAATGCGGCGATGAGCGGCAGCGCCCACCGTCACCTGATCCAGAAGTACCGGACGCTCTACAGCCGCACACGCAGCTTGGAGGAGGGCCAGATGAAGGAGACGGAGGGCTTCGGCTTGAAAGGCATTTTCGCGTGCTTTTTTCATGGCTTGATTCTTCCTTTCCTTCGCTTCTATTCGATCAGTACAGTCTTGCACTCAGACGACTCCTTACCCCTTCTCACGCCCAAGGCCCCTCTAAGCTAAGAATCCGAAGCTTCGTTAAAAAACTTCTAAAGCCTCTGCCAGGAGGTTGTGCTTGCTTTCTTCGGTGGCTTCCTCGCGCTCTCGGCTGCCATTGGGCTCGCCGGCGTCCTGCAGCGGCTCCGGCGGCCAGCAGGGAACCAGGCCCTGCTTGCAATTCACCTGAGAGAACATCCGCAAGCTACCCAGAAGAGGATTGTTCTGGGGGACGCGCGGAGAGACCCGAGTGCAGAACGGAGCAACTTCCTTCTATTGTGGCGGCTAGGGCTAGGGCAGTGACGTCTCAGAGGGGCGTGGTTATCGTGCGTCAGTGTTGATCTCGTCGCTGCCTCCTTTGTCCCCTGCAGATCATGGTGGCCGATGCAGAGCAGGCCTTCGTGAAGGGGAGTGTTTTGCGGCGTGTGTTGCTGTGCAGTCTCTTGTGGTCTCAAGGCCCTTGCCAATGCTGAGACCTCCGACGTGGAGGTTCCCTTGGTGGCGGCGCTTTAAGAGGTGCCTGACTCACTTGAAGGATTCCCTGCTTGTCAGGCTTAGCTTTCTCCGTTCCTGCCTTGCGCTTTCATCTCCAAGCTTTTGCAGGCCTTTGTCTGGAGCCTGGACCTGCGAGGAAACCCTCTCAGGTCCTTTGCCTGTCTCACGAAACGCAAAAGAAATTCGACTGATTTCTGAAGCAGATGCTTACAGATGCTTACAGGTTGCTTAACAAGGCTCAAATCACTGCAGGGGGGGCTCTTGTCCCCTCTTGTGACACCCCCAGAGTTGAGTCCCGCCCTGCATCTGCTTCTCTGCTTCCGCGCGCAGCGGCGCAGCGGTCAGCGGTGAGACCGCAGGCTGGGCACAAAGATGTCCGTGCGCACCATCGCTGTCTCAGAAAGCTGCCCAGATTAAAAAAAAATAGGTCTTGAAAGTCCAAGCACAAAGATTAGGGTGACATCGTTGCACTCAGTTGTTGCACTCAACCGTAGCGCGCCCCGCGACAATCGTCTCCTGGAGCGCTCGAACCTGCGCCTCGCCTTCGGCACAACAAGGTTGCCGACATGTGCCGAGTCATGCTTGTGCACCATTGTGCACCATTGTGCACCAAGACTATCACCTCTCATGCACTACCCTCTGCGAGCTAAGGGTCGTTCCAGGTTCATCTCCAGGGATATGTGGATCATTGTGGTTCTTGCCTCTTGGGATCCCAGGGCACGCCACGCCACGGGCACGCCAATGATGCGGGGTCCACTGCAACAATTCGATGCCTCGGGTCACGAGAGTGCCATGAGGTCAAAGTAGGAGGCCGGCTGTGATTGCCCTGAAGTCATGGGACGGCACTGTACTAAAAGACACAGCGCCGCTAAAGGACTCAGACAGACAGCGTGTTTTTTGATGTTGAGCGTAGTGGCGACAGTATGTTCAATGAGATCTCCATGATCTTCAGGACTGGATCTCGTAATTTTTGTGAAAACGACATCTCACGTAGCTTGTTACTGGAGAGCGCGCAAAGTCTATTCAAAAAAGATGTCCGCGCATCTGCAGAGATTGCACTTGGCTATGCGAAGCCTTCGTATCGCTGCATTAAAATCCTCTGTGCCATGACTCAGGAAGAGATGCTGGGCGATGGCTATGCCGCGGCCGAGCGTATTGCACTGGAGCCGAATGGCAACCCGCACTATTTGCCGCTTGGAGGTGAAAAAACTGCCGCACGCTGCACAGACACCACAGAAGATGCTTTGACCCTTCTCGGCATTGAAAGGATTGACCCCAACAACGCCAACTTCTTCCACATGATGTTCTTCCTGTGAGTGCCGTTCAATGCAGTTCAACTCAATGCGACCCTGAGAAGCTTCAGTTGGCTCTTTGTCGCTTTTGAGTGAAGGCCAACGTAGCCTTTTCAGAGCAGAGCGTGCGTTGGCTATGCTCGTTGAAGTGCTTCCATTAGCTGATCCCTTGGCAAGTTGGTCCTTTGCGGTTTTGACACTTTAATAGCCCATGTTGCACGTACAGTGTGAGCGGGCTGCTTTATCTTACACCAAGCACAGCGCGTGCGAGGTAACAAGGCAGGTTATGGCATGTTTTGAAGCTGACCACATTGTGCGTCATCGACACGGTCCGCCCTGCTGTCGACTGGACATGAGTTCTTGAACGCAGTTTTAGGGCTCGGCCCCTGAATCCTCTCGGGGCCTTAGAGTCTTTGCCGGGGGGTGGGGCGGGGGTCGCCGACGGAGTCGCGGCTGGCGGTGCTGCTGGCTGCGTCATGGGGGAGGTGTTCACGTGCTACGATTGCACGAACCGCGCTTCTGTACAACTCGGGTTGCCACAGGCTGCAATCCTTTCTGACAAGCTGAAGAGGCAGATGATTCCATCCATACTCTATGATTCCCAAAGCAGGTGTGGGGCCCTAAGCGTTGGCTTTCTGGAGGTATGGCGCCGTGGGCGCCGGCTTGATTCCGGACCCCATGGCAACTCTCCGACTTGTCGAGGCCCCCGGAAGATTCCAATTTGTTCGTCAGAAGAAGTGGCAGTGAGTGCTCTGAGTTCATGTTGCGGTTCCGTCCTCTCGGCCTCCCGTTTTCTTGATCTTGCCGCCTCTCTTTTCTCTTCCTCTCTCCCGCTTCCTCCTTGTCATGATTTGTCACGCTATCCCTCCCATCTTTGTTTCCAGGCCTCGAAGAATGCCCCGTCCCAGGGTGCGGCGGCCAGAAACATTGCCATGATTGGTGCCAAGTGCTGCGGAGCCATTTTTTGGTGACCAGGCTACGTGGAAGAGCCGGCGACGAGCAGCACCGGTGCGGCTCTTACCTTCTTTCAGCCAGCCTTTGCCTTTCGTCTTTGCTGAATCTACAAGCCTGGAGGTAGTCGGAAGATTTGGCAGCGGCCGAGTGAAGGAGCGTCTGAGATCATCCTTGGCTGGCTTGCTTGGGTTTCCGGGGGAGTTTTGCCGCATGCTACGACCTAAGATCACCTCAGGGCCTCAGGCCATGCGGGCGCAGGAGTGCAGACAAGGCAAGACATCCTCGAGCTGCTGGACGAAACCATCCGCGTGCAAGGCTGTGCAGACGTGAAGTGGTCTCCATGCTCTTCTTCTCGCCTTGTCTTGTTTCTTTGCTCCATGACGGTGCCAGGCATTGTGCAGACTGAAATCAGTCAGCTGGCCCGAACAATAGCAGCGGAGGCGAAGGCAGTTCTTGCACTTTTTGCACGCCGTGAGTCGACAAGACACAATGAACGGTCCTGCGCAGGAGAGGCAGGAGAAGCAGGAAGCAAAGGAGGGCAAGAAGAAGAAGAAAAAGACGCTCTCAATCCCCGAGGCATTCCGCAGAGTCAAGGCGAGTTGCAGCTGCAAGATGCCTTTGCAATGCTTGACCACGTGCGGCCTCTGCGGTCAGGAACTGCAGCTGCCGATAGATCCGTTGGAGGACTCTGCTTCTGCAAGATTCTGCAGTGCCTGCAGTGCCCTGTCGGATTTGTGCCGGCTCCTCGAGCCAAGGAGCTCAACCTGACCGAGCAGGCCTTCCAGAAGCTCCTGACCCAGCGCCTCCCCCAATGAGAAGGGAAGAGGAGTATTGAGCAGAAAGAGCCATCCCCCCCCCAAAAGAAAGCCTTAGCTCGGGGGCGGGGGAGAGGTACGAGGAGGACCAAGAGGCCGGTGTGTTGAGTTGTAAGAGGAGTCTTAGTGTCTTAGTGCGATTGATGTGTACATCTGCATATCTTCGCGAGGTCTCGGCCAAGGCCCAGCTGCTTCTGCACCCGGAGCCCAAGGGCGACCTCGCCAAAGCCCGGAGTGCGCTCGCCGAAAAGAAGGGAGGGAGAAAAGAGCGAAAAGAGAGAGAGAGAGAGAGAGAGAGAGAGAGAGGGAGAGAGAGAGAGGGAGAGGACAAAAAAAGCAGAGAGAAAAGCCCCGGGGCCGGTGGATTTGTGTGGATGTTTCCCGGTCTTGTGCACGTATTGCATCGACTTCCACGGGTGAACGACGCGGTCTCAGCAGCCCAAGGGATGCCACAAGCTGGCTCTGCTGTCCTGCAGTCTCGTCTCTGGCGTGTCATGCTCCTCCTCTCAAGCTTGTCGGAGGCACTAGCCCGAAGATCTCCGACACCTGCAGCGCTACGCTTGGAAGACTCTTGGAAGTGTGTCTCCGGCAATCAAGAATGGTGAGATTGGGGCTTCGACACGAGCCAAAGGGGCCACGATGCTGATGGGGCCGAAGACTGGCTCCGCTGGAGCCGTGGGGCCGGCCATACCGACCGGCCATACCGACCTTGGACCAAGAACCTCAGGAACGCTGCTCATCACTTCTCCGCTGGCCGATGCTTTTCGTTACCGGTGCCAAAGTCATGCCGAAGCCTGCCGAGAAGCCCTCGCAGCCCACTAAGCGAGGCAGCCGACATGAGATGTCTCTGCATTTTGTAGAGGTTTTGACAAAGATGTCTCACAGGTCTTTGTTGCACAGAGTTCCAGACACAGCAGTCAGGCAAATGAAAGCAAGACCTTCACTTGCCTAAGAAATGCCTGAAGAATGCTTGGCTGTGTCAGACTATGGGTATGCCGCAGAGGTATAAGCATCGAGAAGATCGTCGAAATTCACCAGTTCATGGTGGCCAGGGGCCCGAGAGCCCATCACAGAGCTCACTTTGCCATACTTTGCTCAAAAGCGCCCTTACATCCCATCAGGTGGAAATGCAGAAGGTTTTGACGGAGTTCCTTGCCTTGGATCAGGACAACGAAGGGTGGCATTGTTGAAGCCGGCCCAGACCCCGCCCGTTTGCGGAAACTCGGTGCAATCTCCGTTGTTCGGAGGAGACGCGTCGAAGCTTCAGCAACAAGGCCATGTTGGCGAAGATCTGCTTTCTTTTGGCTTAACGGAGTGTTACGTCAGGCGTGCGAGACCACGGCAGAGCTCCTCGCCTCGGCCCGAGATGCTCCAGTCAACAAGGGCTCCCAACTTGCTCGAAGATGCTCGAAGATGCTCGAAGGCGCTGCCGTTTTCAGGTCTCTGTGGCCGTGGAGCAGCAGCTGGGCGTTCACTGCGAGGATGTGGAGCAGGTCCTGGAAGAAGATGCACTAAGATCCCCTTTGATCTCCTCCATGAGTTTTCCAGCAGCGACCCCTTTAACGTTGAAAGTTCCCGTAAGCACACCGACCGTAGCCCTTTTTTTCTTGGTTTTATTTGCCCCGGGGTGTTGGGAAGGGGGAAGGGGCCCAGGCGGGTCGGGGGGGGGGCGGCGGTGTGTATGTTGGGGACTGCTCCCGAGGCGGTGATGCAGCGCCGACCCCGGCTTTTGCGCCACGAGTCTCTAGAGGCTCCCCCCTGCCTTCGGCCCAGGCACGAGGAGGTGCTGGCAAACCACCCGGAGCGCGGCGACCCGGAGAAGAGCAGCTGTGTGGCTTCTAATGATGCAAGTCTCAGGTTTGCCCGCTGCACGGAACAGCTTGCGAACATGATGCAGCCGGCGGCCTGATGTGTTTAACCCCACACCCGGGCATTGACTTTGTGGTTCCTATAGGCACCTCACGGGCGCAGCCCAGCCGCGAGCGAACAAGGCCGGGAAATCGCAATCCCAAGCGGGTGTGGACAAAAAAAGCCCAGCGTGTGCCTGTGATGCGAGACCATTTTGACATGCTGAGGCTGTGTGTGCGGGGGGTTGAGGGGGGGTGCGTGGGGCCTTTGACGTTTTGGAGGCGGACTTTTTGGAGGTCCTGCGGAACATGGCGGACCACTCCCAGAAGGCCAAGGCGCCGAGAGGGTTGTTTATTTCTTTGCCTTTTTCTGTTCGCATCTTCGGCGGGCATGGGATCTGGCTTTTGTGTGTGAGGGCCCAAACCAATGCCCCGAACTCTGGTCACAGGACTTTGCCAAGAAAGTCTACGAGGAGTACCGGGCCAGATGCTTTAAGCCTCTGCAATTTCGTCCTCAGCTGTCTGCAAGATTCTGCAAGATTCTGCAAGATTCTGCAAGCCCCAACTTGGAGGCCAAGACCTGTCCCGTCAGCGACGCCTACCGCCGATTCGAGGAGTTGAAGATAGGGTTGCTGTGAGTTGTCTTGGCATAGACTGCGTGTGCCAGTGAGGGCAGTATTGGTACAGATGACTGCGTCACTCCAAGTATGCTGGATCTTCACATGTGCCTTACTCTTGCCGAGAAATCTCGCATAGATAGCCCGACTCCCCCAAGAACTCGAGTCAGAATTGCAGAGCCTCGGTCCAGTAGTGGCTGAGTGTGCAGGACTTTGCCGCCGAAGCGCCACCGGCCAAAGAGGGCCTCGAGGCACGGAGCATGAGTGGGAGGGTGGAGTGATCATGTGATCTGACTGGGGCTACTTTCGGGTTAGGAATGGGAACCGGGACTTCTCAGAAACGCCAGCTCCATTTGCCAGGACCTGACTCCGGTGGAGCTCCAGCTCTGCTACGATGAGTACAGGGAAGACCCGGAGGCCTTAGCAAGGTAAGGCTTTTTGTATTGGGGAGACGCTGGTTTGCTGCCTCGCCGATCTGCCCCGCCTCTCACAGCTCTTTCAGTTTTCTCTGGGAGACTCAGACAGGCTGATGGTTCTTTTTATTTTATTTTTTAGTGTTTTTTTTTGCGGTTTTAGGTGAGAACCTAAACCCTAAACCCTAGCCCTAAACCTTAAACCCTAAGCCCTAAACCCTAAACCCTAAGCCCTAAACCCTAAACCCTAAGCCCTAAACCCTAAACCCTAAACCCGAAGCCCTAAACCCGAAACCCTAAACCCTAAACCCTAAACCCTAATTCCTAAACCCTAAACCCTAAACCCTATGCGGAGCTGCAGTTTGTATAAAAAGGTAGTATTGAAAGGGTTGCAAAAACCCGATATCCATTTTGGCTCAAGAATCTGGGCCATGCGCCTGAAACAAAAAGTAGAGTGCCCTGTGGTTTGGGTTTGGTTTTTGGTTGGTCCAGCGCAGTTAAGGGCTTCGGTTGGGGTTGACTGTTTGGTTCCTTGTCCCCCTTCGGTTGCCCCCCGAAGGTTATGAGCCCAAATTAGGCTCCCTGTGGGTTAAGTGAAATTCTAACCTTCTTTACGGCCATGGACATGATGCGGCGTCGTTCTGAACCTGGACTGTCATCGGAGGCCAATGATGCCGAAGAAAATCGTGGTGATGGGGGTGAAGAAAGGCAACAAGCTCCTGAGGTACAAGCACTGACGGATGGGAGAGAAATTGCGCGAATGCAACCAATCGCTCAGATTGAAGGTGAAATGGTTCAAGGTCCAGCAGCGAATCCTTTCTGGAGCGAGCGGGCTCATGAGGAAATAAGACTGAGGCAATCAAGGCCAGCGGCAAGCGGAGGGGATAGAAGTAGTGAAAATACGAGGAGACCACCGTCGCTGCCAGATCTTCGGGATCGAGAACCTGTACAAGCTGAGTAGAAGAAGAGCTGATTCCGGACACTACTGGAGTTGATCAAGGAGAAGATATGGCGATCGTCAAGCATGTGTTGAAGGAAGCAGGTTGCATAGAGTGGATGAGAAGAGTTATACCTCTGCTGCATCTGGATCTGCGTCCCATGCACGAAGCGCCGGGGTAGTAGACGCGAGCGCTGTATATCCGCCAAGTGTCAGCCCAGAGAAGCAGTTTCTGCCTGGACAGGTTTTCTACACTGATGGGTTGGGGAGTTTTTGGACTGTGTTGCCAGATGGGACGTGGCTGCCTATTGAGGGTTATGATCTCCCAAGAGGTTGCAACCTTCAACCGATGCCGGAGGATGTCAAGGTGGAGGTGGAAAAAGAAGTGCCAATGTAAGAAACCCTCAAGGTTACCACCGCTGAGCCATCCTCCAGCGAGCTCTACCGGCCATGGATATATGGGAGGTGCGCCATGTCTGACACAGGTTCCAGTTGTTCCCCTACCGGCAGGAAGTGACGGTGCTGTGGTTCATCAAACGAATCCACCCGGCTTTGTTTCTGCTCGGGAGGCGTCGTCACATGTGGATGCTGCAGGTTCAGGTGGATACACAATGGTGGAGGGTGTTCCGTATCGGTGGAAAATGGTTGCTGGAAAATTGGAATTGGAAAAGGTTCCACTTACAGTGCCTACGTCTGGTGCGGGATATGGGTCTCTGCCAAAGCCTACTGGTGGTGTGAGTCTACCCCAAGGGGCAGTTGCTCCTCGGTCAACGCCGCCAACTGGAGATAATTCTGGGATGGAACGTCCAGAGGCTCTAGGGAAGCATGTGATGAGTCTGCCTACTCTGGCAGAATACACTCCAAGTAACCCTACGGCGTTAGGAGATTGGATCGCAATGATCGAACCAATGTTGTCCTCGCTGACGGATACAGGTAGAGTGTGGTGGCAATGCGTCTGTTCAAGGGCGTGTCAGGCGTATGCCAAATGGTTGAGTGTCTCCCCGCTGGAAAGGTTGGGCATCAAGGCTGAGCTGGAAGGGCTCAATGTGGTTCAAACTGCGCACGTATTGTTGGAGCAGCGGGCGGTGTCCCTGCAGTTGCAGGCGATCCCGGAGAGGTTAAAAACTGAGATCGTTTCCCCTCGAATGCTGGGGTCTACGATGATATTTTACAAATTATTGACGGTTTACCAGCCAGGTGGAGCCCACGAGCGCAGTACAATGTTGAACTTCTTGGTGCAACCGTCCTCGGCTACCTCGGTTTCCGAAGCAATCAAGGGGGTGCGACAATGGGCGCAGTGGCGATCCCGGTTAAGGGAGCTCAGAGCATCTGAACCTGACGCTACCCTGCTTATCAAGGGATTGGATGTATTATCGTCAACTTTGCTGGCAAAACACCCTACGGTTCTTTTTTAGAGTGGCATCCTTTCGGGAGAAATTGGGGGTGGACTACTCTCCGACCTCTGAAACTGCGACACAACTAGCCGAGATGCTACAAGCAGAGTTTGAACTGCTACTGCATAGCGCTGGTGATCAGGAAGTGAAGCAGGACTCGGACGCCAAGAAAAGGGCAAGATTAAACAAAGCCCAAAAGGGAAATGGTGACGAGACAGAGGAGGGTGACAAAGGCAAAGGGAAAGGGAAAAGGTACAATAATGACGGTGAACGTCCTTTCTGTTGGATATATGGGAAGACTGATGCAGGCTGCAAGTTTGGTTCACGCTGCAAGTTTCGCCACGACAAGGACTCCCTGGAGTGCGGAAGATGTTGTGAATGTGGGGCCGTTGGCCATTTGCAGCCGCAGTGTCCATACAAGGATGGTGCCGGTCTCAATGCAGACCCTAATTCAGAAAGGAATAAACCCAAAGGGAAGTCTCCCAAAGGGGGAAAGGGCGCAAAGGTGCGAAATGGGGAAATGCCAAAAAGGCAGAAGTGGCTGAAGGAGGAGATGAGACGGTTAATGTGGGATCGGAAAGAGGTTCTGCAAGTCCCTCATCACCATCAACGCCCAATCAAGTCATTGCTGAAGCGTTAGAGGTGCTGAAATCTATGAAACTGTCGTCAGCACAGTCAGCATCAAGCGGGGATCCCAGTATTCGGATGTTATGTGGTCCTGGGGTTTTTCAGCATGGAAGGAGAGTGGCGTTGGTGGATACAGCTGCTACGCATCTTGTGCGGACGCTTTTTCCCTGGGAATGGTTGCCGGACGCTACTATTAATGTGCAAAGCGCGCTTGGTGGTGTGGCTATGAGGATCACAGAGAAAGGGACATTGATTAGGGAGGACAATGGGCCCCTGATTATTCCCCTCTGGTTGGTTTTAGAGTTTGGGGCGAACCTCGCCGTGATCAATGGAATGTGTCAGATGGGGGTAAAATCTGCGCTGGACCAGCTCTTATGGTTTGAAAACGGCTGCTTGATTATGGATTGCAAGACAGCTGAAAAGATGGTGTTGCATGCTGAAAGGCAGTGCGCGTCTTGGTCCCATTTTCAATGGAGGAATGAAAGGGCGGACTGTGGAGTCGGTTCGTCGGATGCCGCGTTGTTGTCGAAGCAGGGAGAAGGCCGAGGAGTATGCGTTCTACATGTGGCCAGGGTTTCAGACACCAATGAGTGTTCTGGAATGGGCATGTTGGACTCGGGGGCATCACATCCTCTCCGATCACTTCGTCCTGGTGAAGAGCTTCCACAGCAAAAGGTGTTGGTGTCTTTAGCTGTTGGATCTAGGGAGATGTGGAAAACCAAAGGCGGAACCCTGGTAACTCCTGAAGAAGTAGATCCACTTGTGCCATTGGCAAAGCGAGCGCTTTGGTCGGTCTCAGAGTGCAATGGCGTGGTGGCAAGTGCACAGCCTCGCATCCTGTTCTGGGAGAGCTTCGCGTTCCAGATCTGAATGGGTGTCCTTGTTTGGAAAAAGATGTGGCGCTTCAGATCATTGATGAAATGGATTGGTGCTCACCAAAGCAAGTGTTAAGGGTGGCACGTATGGTTCAAGGGTGTCCGAATACGGACGATGAAGTGGCCGTAAAAGCGTCGTTGCAAAGCGCAGCGCGGACAGCGTCAGCGAACGAGGAGGAGTTCGTCCAGGCTTGTTGGCGATTCCTGCGGTGGTATTATGGGGAAGTACCAGAACATATGCTGATGGAGCTGTTGCCACATGGTGATATTGCTGCGTTGCTTTTCAACCGTCATAAAAGGCGACGGGTGGCACGAGCAAAAAGGGTGGCTGTTCACCTGTTCTCGGGAAAACAAAAATGGCATTTTCCCAGTCGGGATGTAGAGGTACTGGAGTTGGATTTGAAAAAAGGTGGTGACCTCCGAGCGTCTGGAAGTATCTTTTGCATCTGGCAGCTGAAGGAAAGGTGGTGGCTGTGGTTGGAGGACCACCATGCAGGACAGTGTCAAGGCTGAGAGGTGAAGACGGTGGTCCACCTGTATTACGCCGGCGCTGTGGGCCTGAACGGTTTGGTTTAAAGAGTCTTCCTGGGCCACATCAAGAATTGGCTCAAAAAGATGGTATATTACTTCTGAAGATGCTTTTCCTATATGACGTGGCGGTGCATTCAAGGTGTGGAACCGCTGGTGTCATCAATGAGAGCTCTGTCTTCTTTGGCATGGAAAGTCCTGGGGATCCTGAGCTCATAGGGAAAGATTTTTCTCAGAATTACAAAACGGTCTTGAGTGCTGAGGATCTCGTGGATGGTTCTCAGAAAGGGGTCTCAAGTCCCACCTTCTGGAGTTGGCCAGAGGTAAAAGGTTTTCGCGAGCGTTATGGAATGTACGCTGCGCATTTTGATCAAGGAGCATTGGGACATGCTCTGGTGAAGCCTACGACTTTCCTGGTGTCTGATGCAGAACTATGGGAATCGTTGGAACAAGTTCGTGTGGTTGTTCCGTGGTCAGCAACATTCGCTTCTACCCTGGAAGAACGTATTGGCCAGTCCTCTGTGTGGGCGCGATGGGCATTTGGGTTGGTGAACAGAATACGTCGCAGGTTGACACAATGGTTGCAAGAGAGCGACGCTGAACGGGAAACTATGCTGTCAAAGAAGGAGGAACAAGAGGAGGT